GTTCTGTGAATCTGTTTTTACTGTTCTGGTGTCGTATCTTGTATTTTTGACCTAGTTACACTCGAAACTGAGCTGAGTGAACTTCTGCAATATTGTAGCCCTATCTCTTAGCTTCTAAACGGTGGGTCTTGCACCTTCATCCGATAATCGTAGTGCCATTGGTACCAAAACCGCATAATGACGTCAAAAACTATTTTTTTTTGGTAATCTTTGGCATTGGTTTATGACTCGTTATCGAGTCTCATTGTACTTGTTTGCACATTTTAGGGCATGACGGTGGTTCACGACGTTCTTTTGACGGAAGTGCATGAAATATCACTTTCAAGCTTGGTGAGTGTACCACTCACTTGTGTGTTACTATATGGCTTTGATACTTGAACTTGATGAGTTAAATGTTATTGCACCATCGATATTGATTGAAGTAAGGGTGTACTTTATCACTCTCACTTAATTCTCATGTTATTGGAATGTTACATGAAATGAAAAGTACTTGACTTGGTGTCGATTGGACGAGTATCCAACGACCATGATTGTTACCATTGAGCTCAACCCCATTGGTAATTGATTGAATCGAGCCGGCGAGGGCTTGGTCATGCCAATTAATGAACCTTGGGGACTGTTATATGGAATCTTGTAGTATGAGAGACTCTCGATTCCGGTATACTCGAGTAATACCACAGTGCAAGTGTTTGGAATTCGGGCCCGGTAGGGGTATGTTGGGTGGAAGGAATGGAAGTAAAGTGGAGTCTACGGTTGGTTACTTTTAAACATTGACGGAGAGTCAATGAGATCCGATCAAGAATGCAAACGAGGAAAAGGGCTCTTGAGAGCCGCCCGTATCCTTTTTATCTCCACCATTAATGTGTGCCTTTGCTTACTTTTGATGAATTGAAATGAAAAGCTTTATGCTTATGTGAACTTTGCTGATTGAGTGGTATTATCTCACTGGGCGTAAGCTCACCCTATTCCTTTTGTTTTCCTTACAGGAAAATAAATACTTTTGGACTGCAATTGATAGTTGGTCGCCGAATTGAGCTAGTTGGACATATCTTTTGTATAGCTCATTTATTGAAACCCTAAATGTACTTTTGGGACCGTTTCTCTTTTGATTTGGCAAACCAGACATGTATCCACTTTTGAATACTTTTGTATGCCACTTTGGCTTGTAAATGCTAAATTTCAAGATGTGAATGTTTGCTTGATATTTGGTTGGGTTCTGACGGGTCGGTTACTATTCATAGCCGACTCCGGTTTCATTTTTTTTTATTTTGACATTTTGACTTGTTTACACGCGTTTGTAAGTTCCGGAACATATTAGCTCGCTCTATACCGAACCGTTAGTTCTGGCGAGAGTTGGGCAGGCAGTCCGCTAACCCCTTTGGTTCGCCTTAGGGAAATGTGGGGCTATCACATCGAGCATAAGTCACACACTTATTTCCACTTTCATTTGATGCATGTTAAATTTTATAGTTCATGATACTAGTGTGATCGATTACTGAGGTGCATGCGATAACTTTGGAGGATTAGAGGGAGTTTTGTGCAAATGCAATTGTTGGAATAGAGGTGTTAATAGATAATTAGGAGAAAGAGAGATATTTGGAGGCAATTAGATAGATATCACTTGGTTTCTTGCCACTTATCATTCATCTAACCAGGGTTGACCAAGACCAAGACTAATTCTCTTATAACTAAGCTTCCATTTCACCAAACAAACATTTCTTTTTCTTGTGCCTAGGCTGGACGAAATTTGGGGAGAAAGGGGAGAGAAAACAACTCCATTCCTAGCCTTGATTCCTTGCCTATTTAGTGAGAAAACAAGAGAGAAATCCAAATCTACTCCATCAAATCTTGAATCAAGCTTGGGAGGAAGCTGTTGGAGGAGTTCTTGGAGGAAGAAACTCTTAGTACTTCTTCGTTGCTTTTCATCTTGAGTTTGTGGGAAATAAGAGGTAAATTTGCTAGACTATCTATCTTTCTTTTCCTATACTTAGCATATGAAGTTTTGTAAGCAAAAAGGAAAAGACTTCATGGAAAATTTTCTTTGTTTTCTAAGCTATTGATGGCTGATTTTGATGCATGAATTGATAGTCTAGGGTAAACTTCTATATTTGCAATTGTGATGAAATTCTTTGCTAAGAATACCTGCTATATAACTCATGACATGTTGGATAAGATATATTGTGTATTTGCCATAGAATTAAGGTTGGAAGTTGGAAGTTTTGTTGGAAAAACTTGGGGGGAAATTTGCTGAAATTTCTGCTAAAGTTGGCCAATTAGGAGAGAGAGATTTTTCAGCTTTACTTTCCAGAATTTTATGGTGATTTTGGCAAGGTATTTGCGTAAGATACTTTGTTAACTTAATCTTCATACGTATGTTGATTTTGAGCCAAAACAAAGAGGTTTAAGGAGGAAAAAACCTAGTTTTTCAAACTATTTGCTTGCTGGAAAATTTTTGCCGGAAACTCTATACAGCTTTGGGAAATTGGCAATAATTTCGTATAGAAAAGTTAGAATTGAGTTCTGTTTGTTGTGTTTGAAACTAGACTCATAGAGCTTCCAATGATATAAAATTCAGGATTTGGTTCAATTTTTATAAATGCCAGTAAATGTGCAAAATTTCTTGAAAATCATGACTGTTTTGTTTCTGCACTTGTGATAGCAATGATTTTTAAACTGAAATTTGACTAATCTATGAGTTGAATTTCATGAAGATGTCTTCTAAAGCCTATTAGTACTTCGAGTCTATTTTATAATGGTGTAAGATTTGTGATTTTTGGACCTACGGAACTAAAGTTATACCTTTTCAAAGAATGTCACCAAAGCTGGAAAATTTATCAAATGGATTGAGTGGGACTTGGAAAGCTTTGGAAAACTTTTGTAGGTTTTAAACCTAACTTTCTTTGGTTAAATCTTGCATATTTTGATTTGAAATACTTAGTGATGTGTTAACCTTAGCATGCATGAAATATTTCACTTAATTTGAACTTGATAAGAACTTGATTTAAACAAGAAACCGTTGTCATTTTGGTCTTCTAATATTAGGGTTAAACTTGTAGTTTTTATGGTTGCTAAGTGAAGTTTCGAATCTCATATTTTCTCATCATCTTAGCTTTAATTGACTAGACTCTTGATGGATTACATGATCACAGGACTTGAGAATGTTCTAGAGGAAAAACCTAGGTGACCAATTGGTGAGGATAAGTGGTGAGTGTACCTTGTGTTTGTGAATTAAATGCTTTTATTGTGTTGTTATTGGATTGTTTGACTATTAAATGTATTTTCAAAGATTACTTCGAAATGTATTGTCAAAGATTGTTTTACAATTGATAGGCGAGTATGTACTTTATCGCACTCGATCTAACTGAATGTGAAATTTGCAATGAACAAATGGCTAAATGTTACTTGTACATGTCACTTGTGCATGAATATAAGCCATTGGCTGAACTGGGCACTTACCCTTCGTCACTAGCCTATTCGAGCTAGAAGCAGATTCGGTCGGGTAGGTTGGTACTTTGGGCCACTGTTTTGGTATGCTCGAGCATGACCATTGAGTCAGGTGGAGAACTAGCCTGTGAATAGAATACAATGAACGACTGAATGATGGAAACTGAATGACTGAATGAATGATTCCAAGTGAGCGCTTGAATGTTTATTACTCTTGGAATGGTTTGAACGATTTTAAGTCTTTAAATGTTTGAACATTTACTTCCTGACTGCCTTGAATCATTAAATGAGATGTTCTCATGATTTAACTATTTGGATTGCCTGCTGGATACTCATCTTTTATTTTTATTTTTAGAAAATAAAACCTCACTGAATATTGGCTCACTCCCCCTTAGATTTGTTTTCCTTGCAGGAGTGGAGACCCGGAGCGGATAAGTTTGAACTTGAATGTAACGACTCTCTTATACATGTATATTGGCAGATAGATTTTATTTTGATATTTTAGTAATATACCCTATGTTTCACTTTTGGTTTGTAATTAAGTTTGAATTATTGGTTGAATTGTAGAACTCCAGTACTTATGTGGAGGTTTGAATGGTTATTTTGAGAATTGATTGCAATGAATGTAGTGAGTCCTAGCGAGAGTTGGGTAGGCGATCTGCCAAAATCTTGAATATGCCCTAGGAGGAGTTGGGGTCATCACAATCATAATCACAAATAAGGACCACATGCATATTATTCAAACATTTATGCTCTGACAATCCAAATAAAAATAATTAATCTTTTCAACCCAATTCAACAAAATTTTTCATACTTTTATGTAAAAATCTATTTATTTTTATTGATTTTTATTTAGATATTAAAAGAGTGTGCATTTTACAGTTGGACTCACCCCTTTTAGGCATATTCCTTTGCAGATTGTTAATACTCCATAAGATATACTCTGCTGATGTCACTGATTGGTTCTGTTTGTCATTTTAATGTTACAAAATCAACTTATTTGTTTATTACTTTAAGTTGGTCAGCAATGAGGCTGACGCAAACGCGGAACGCCAAGGCCGACACAGACCATTTATATATTGTCTAGCCTTTGAAGGAAACGCGTATTAGACCCCATTGACAAAGTCAAGTCTTCAATTTTTAGCTGTTGTTATGACAATGTGTATTCAATGCCAAATCCCGATTAGTTTCAAGAGTTTAATGTAATGTAGAAAATTAATTAACATATTAACCAAAAACGACAATTGCATAAGAGCACCATTTACTTGCTAGTTTTCTTAACAGTTGTGTGATTTTCTTAGTTACAAATTTTACCGCATAAATTATAATAGGAACTTGCAGGCCGTCAAGCATCAGTTTTAGTGTTTTACCAAGTCGATTTTGAGAAAATTTCAGATGAAATGATTTGTCATGACTTGAGAAGCAGTATAATTATGGACTAGATGGTTACTTGTTACCCGGAATTGATAAAGTACTATTTTTTCTTACACGCTGTTGTGTATGAAAACTACTCATTGTAGCTTGATCACTGAACTAGAAGAAAAGAACGTTAATGGTAGTAACTAGATTCCACCTATACTATATATGTGGATGTGGTCCCATACGCGTAAATGGTGATAGAATCGTAGAAATTGAGGCGAACAAGCAGATCTCACTGCTACTATGCAAGAGTTGACTCCAAAGTCTTTCGTCCTATTGTCCTATGCATACAACATGTAAACAGGACTAAACCATCTATTGCAATGGCATCCCTATGCATACAACTCATCTTCTTCTTGTTTCTCTTCCCAATATCTGCTTTATCTCAAAAAAATGGTATTGTGCGTGTGCCTTTGGGCAGTACTTTGACTGCAGGTGAAACATCTGCTAGTCCTTGGCTTTCACCTTCTGGCGATTTTGCATTCGGGTTCCAGGAAGTACAGCATAAGGATCTGTTCTTGCTTTCCATATGGTATCACAAGATACCAGACAAGACTGTAGTTTGGTTTGTTAATTCAACAAATCCAGTGCCACGAGGATCGACTGTAAAGCTTGATCCTCAAACAGGGCTTGTGCACTGTGACCCTCGAGGCTTACAACTTTGGAGTGCTAATGTTGATTCTGCTCAAATTGATCATGGTTTTATGAATGATACCGGCAATTTTGTCCTCAAGGGGAATGATGATAGCTGGCTCTGGGAAAGCTTCAAACATCCTGCTGATACGATACTCCCAAATCAAGAATTGAAAATTGGTGATTCTCTTTCTTCTCGAAAGTCAGCAACAAGCTTCTCTAGAGGAAGATTTTATCTCCGTTTTCGCGATGACGGGAATCTAGTGCTTGTTACGGATGACGATGCTGAGTACTACAATAGTAAGACTTCTGATTCTAGAGATCCACTGTATTCTGGTAGCCAAGTTACTTTTGATGGCAGAGGTGCCATGTACATAAGGAAAAAGGACAATCAAACAGAGCAGCTGAATCTAGTTTCAATACCACGGTTACCACCAGCATCAGAAAACTATCATCGGGCAACAATAGATTTTGATGGGGTCTTCACACATTATTATCATCCCAGGACTTCTACTGGAAATCCGAACTGGAAGGTTCTTTGGTATTTGCCGCCGAATATATGTATCAGCCTTCGAGCAAACAGGGGCAGTGGAGCTTGTGGATTTAACAACATTTGCAACCTCAAAAATGGAAGACCAGTTTGTGAGTGTCCAAAAAGGTATGTATTGCTTGATCCAGATGACACGTACGGCAGCTGCATACCAAACTCAACTCTTAGTTGTGCTGAAGTAGATGGGCGCTCTGCAGAAAACCTTTATGATTTTGAGGTTGTCTATAACATAGATTGGCCACTGTCTGAGTTTGCGAAAATACATCCTTCAAATGAAAGAGTCTGTGTGCAAAATTGCTTGCGTGATTGTTTCTGCGCTGTTGCCATTTACAAAGAAAACAATTGCTGGAAGCATGGGCCGCCACTATATAATGGGAAGGCAGATAAGACTATTCACACCAAAGCTTTCATCAAATACCGCAAGAGTGATGGATCAAAGCCGAAGGACCGAGGCACCTTTATACGTGTGGAACCTGTCCTTCTTGGCACCTCTTTCTTAGTAAACTTGATATTCATTACGACTGCTTGTTTGGGCTTTTACCTCATGTACCGGAAAAAGAGGGTAATATCATTTGAATACTGATGTTGGGGGATATAAATTAGCATATTTTTCCATACAAAGAGCTTGCAGAAGCTACCAATCGATTTAAGGAAGAGTTGGATAGGGGATCATTTGGCCTTGTGTGTATAAAAGATGAGTTACAAAATTAGTTCCGAAAGTAGCATTGTTGAAGTCAAGAAGTTAGAATGGCTTAAGATGCTGAGAAGGAATTTCGTGCTGAAGTGAAGTGATAACAATGGGTCAGGCTAACCACGAAAATTCGGTCCCATCGCTTGGATTCTGTGATGAAGGACAACATCGGCTATTGGTGTACGAGCATATGAGCCATGGCACTCTTGCAAGATTGCTATTGTGAAATCCCGAATCTTTTGGTCCTTCCCTTACTAAACTATTTAATTGGCTAATTGTATATTATTAATTATTTTACGACTAGTTTAAATACTTCATTTAACTAAAACTATTTAATTGACTAATGTTATTGATTGTTTTACTAGTAGTTTAGATACTTCATTTATCTCTTTTGGGATTTTATATTAAACTAGGCATTGGTCCCCGCGGCGTCGCGAGGAGCCCATATTGTATGTTTTTTTGTGGGTTTTTGGGGTATGATAGGTTTCTTTATTATTATTATTATTATCATTATTATTAGTATAAGTGGGAGGTCTTGGATTTAAATCTCCTACTTACCATTTCTCTTATCTGATCATCCAACCCAACCCTCCTCTATTTGTTTATTAATTATATGTACATGTGTTTTATATTGGAATATGTGTAAAGATTTGTAATATAATTTATATAATGTAGTATGAATTTGTCATATTTTGTATTATTTTGAATGATTATGATTATGTTATGTTTATCTATTGGTAGAGTGGTTAATTGTTTTGCATTGTTTTGGTATTTTTATTGTTTACCGTATATTTATGTTTTGTCCAATTTTGATTTGATTATTGGTTCTAATTTATTTTATGCTAGTGAAAGTTGTGAAAGTGGATTAATTGAAGGATTTCGTAGCATGTATGATAGTATAATTTGAGGTGTATTATCCTAGGTTGCGTTGAATTTTGTAATATTTAGTATTGATTAGTTATGTGTAAATTGTATAAATTTTTTAATTGTTTGTTGTTGGTACTATTTAACTTGTGAAGAATAATTTGTAATCTAAAGTTGCTGATTTGTTTGCATATCATATTTACTAGTATTTACGGTCAATTAGGTTAAAACTCATTTTTCATTTGCTAGTGGGCTTCTGAAAATTGTATTTTTCAAATTGTTAGACAAATCTTAGGAAAAGTAACTTTTCAAAAGTTCCTACTGTGAATCAGATGAATCAGAACCACAACCAAGGCTCTGCACATCCTTGGACCATACACTTGAAGAATCTTTGTTAATTTAGATACGAATAGTGGAGCCATTGAATCAAGAGATTTCATTGGGAAATTGGGCTTTTGAAACGAATAGAAAAATCGATGAAAGGGTGAAAGTCGCAGGCTGCAACTCGGTGCCGTGTGGCACGTCTGGATGGCATCCTACTGGCTACCAGCGTGGCTCCTGTGGGAGCAGCTCAGGATGATTGAGTGTGGTGGTGGAGGCCCAGAAGCGGCGGTGTGATGAGGGACTGAGCCCAAAGGCAGAAGACGGCTGATGTCTTGGTTTTAATCTTCAAGGTTGTGGTAAAAGTTTTAGAGTTGGACTAGTTTTCTAACTAAATGGCCCTTTTGCTTAAATTAAACGCGAATTGTTGTACATTTGACCAATTGAAGAGGTATAAAGCCTAATTAAACACAATAATATGAAGAAATGCCTACATCAATTATTGCAAGCTGTTTTTATGAAATGGACAGTTTTTGTGAGGTCTAATCCTTAAGAAATGACCCAAAGTTAATTAAGCTCTAAAAGCCCAATTTTATTATAATGATGCGGATTTAGCTAACTGAATCCGATGGCTTCAATGACTTTTTTAAGAACCTAACCTTGGTAGATTGTAAACACTAACATGAAGTTAAACAAGACCTTTTCATGGTGTGCTTCGCTGTTGAGTCAAATCCAAACTCAAATCCAGCACGAACAAGTGTGGGCCTGTTTATACCAAATTAGAAACTTTCTTAATTTATAGATAATTGAACTAAGACTGTTTATCAAATGGAAAAGTCTTCCCAAAATGGGAAACCCTTCAACAGGGTAACTTTCAATTTTTGGAAACTTTTCAAGTACTTTTTATAGAAGAACCGACATGATTGCTAGGGCTATTTAAGATAGGAATAAGTACTTTAAAGATAAGATGGATGAACTAATTGAAAGATATATGTTATTGCTTATAGGGTTGGAGGTACTTTAAATTTAAGGATCTCTTTAAGCAAATAGTTTGAGGTAGGTGTTTCTTTTCCCTCTATGTTTTTCAACTACTAAAGTATGAATTTCTCTCAAATGAAATCTTATGTTAATATATGAAAATGGATAATGTATTCCTACTTGCCTACATTTCTTATGTTACAAAATATGAATGACTCGCATGTTTTACCAAATGTAAAGAATGGGCACGTGATGTGTGAAATGAGTTTATGTTATAAAAGGCTCTAAAATGTCATGAAATGAATGGTAAGGGCTATAATTCTTTCATGTTATGATGATCAAGTAAAGATCAGGAAAAATGCTTGATCGTTTATAACCCATGATTGGGTAGATCAATTGAAGATGAAGGAAAATGCTTGACCTACCACTCTTCTAGAAGGGGTTAATTTCTAAGTTAGTGCTCAGAAGCCAACTATTGTGTGTACTTGTTTATGAGTTGTTTCGTGAAAGGAAAAGAATTGCAGGCTTATGAATTTCAAGTTTGACTATGTTTGTGCCATATACGATATTGTTTATATTGCCACTCACAAGTTCTATATGTAAAGCAACATATGCTTTTGTTTTCAAAATAATTATGCATGTAATATGCTGTTAAAAATCTTACGAAGTATATTGTATATATATTAGCTACATGATCTAGTAGGCAATTAATTGCTACCTACTGAGTGCACATCGTTCAACCCATATTTTTTTCAGATCGAGAAAGGAAGATTAATTGCAGTTAGAAGATAAGAGAGAGGTAAATAGATAGATGACCAAACACTAGAAATTATAGATCAAGGTGTTAGTAGATGTATTAAATTAAGACTATTATGTCTTTAGTAATTATAAAGTTTAAATTTCAGTAAATTTTTGGAAGTTATGATCAAGATATCTAATATTTGTGAGAGTAAGGTCTTGTGGATACAGCATGCCAACTTACAAATATGGTCTATGGACCTGAATTTGGAGGATGATAGCCATTATGTGATACCCAAGTTTTCTATTTGTGGTCTCAAGTCAAAAATTAAGAAGTTTGGGGTAAAGTTGAGAAGTTTAGGGAAGTTGTGGTATTGGAGGATAGTCAAATAAAATATTGGAAGAATTGGCAAATGAATTTTTAAGGTGTTTGTCTAAAATTTTATTCTAACTTACTCTAGAAGTTGTAAAACAAATTTTAAAAATGTAAAACTTTTTTTTTTCTTTTCTTCCTTTCTTTTTCCTTTTCTTTCCTCTCGTCTTCTTCTCCCTCACCTCACCATTCACTGCCCGCCGGTGCCGAAACCTCCACCAGCAGCAGCAGAAAAATTTTTTTTTTTTGCTTTCTTCTCTCTTTCTTTCTCTTCTCCCTTTCCCTCTCCTCCTTTCCCCTCTCCTCTCATCCTTCCTCCCTTCCCCGTCACCCCCCCCTTCGGCGTTCGGGTCACGTGATCGGGAGAGGGGGAGGGAGCGGGGAAAGAAAAGTGGTGGGGAAAAGGAGGAGAGGGAGAGGAAGAGGGAGAAAAAAAGGGAAAAAAAAACCTCTACCAACGCAGGAAGAGCTGCTGGCCGATGGTGGCCGACGGCGGAGGTGAAGGTGGGTTGAGGTGGGAGAGGAAGAAAAAGAAAGGAGGAAGGGAAATTTTTGTGCTTCAGCAGGATTAAAAGAGCGCCCCCTCATTTCTCAGCAGCCTCAAAACTACGTTAAAATCACCACCAACGATCCAAGCATCAGATGCTGGGTTATCCCTCAAAAGGTCCGCCCAAAGTTCAGATCTTTCAGCTGCAGTACACCGGGCATGCACAAAGGAGACGACAACCTGAGCGCCTAGAATGTGGGTGTGGGAGAGACGGATCGACACATGTTGGGAGCTTTCTGACGGGATTTTTAATTTCAATGCAACTTTAATTCCGAATTTACACTCGTTGGACTGCAAGTATACAGGTCGCAATTATAGTACAAGATGTGTATCGGGTCGATCTCACGAGGAGCAATTTAAACAATTACTAAGCCCTTGTTTTCTCTATTATTTAGACTTACAATTAATTTGAGCAGAGAAAATATAATGCTGTAATCTACAAACCTGATCTACAAATCTAGTTTAACAAATGCTGAATGCAAATAGCGAAATTTCACTTAAGGAAGATTCTAGGGATGTAGATTCCACTTATGGCAATAAACAACACAAATTAATGGATTTACTTTTTGCTATTATTCTTGTTTAACCAGAGATTCATTTCGAAAATTACCAAGTCTCATTTTCATGATGAAATGGCCTAGAGCAATATAGATTTCCCTATTTTCATGGTGAAATACTACTACTACTCTGTTTTATTTCATGAAATGCTAAATAATCCACCTAAGTGTATCTCTATTTTCATGAACATACAACTCAAGCTCTACTCCTGTGTTTCCATTGTTATTACCAATCCTCATTGAACAATAACAACTAATAACAAGCTATTGGTGATCAATCAACAACAAGTAATCACAGCTACACAAGTAGACAAGTTAATAAAAGATCTAACAAGTGTACATCACCTTCAATTCATATTATTTAGCCATAAGTTTCATCTACTCCCTAGATAAAGAAAATTAGCTACTCATGAATGATTTAACAATCAAACTCACAAGTTTATTAATGCAAAACATCATGAAGTACAAGTATAAGAAAGGTAAAAGAAAGCTTAGCCAATTGAAGGTAAAGCTCTCCAATTCCTGCTATGTTCTTGTACAAGATGGTTACAAGTGAAACTCCAAATGCTTCTCTAAGAACTCTTAACTAGAGAGAAAACTTGTTACAAGAAGGAAAACTAGCTACGTATCTTCTCCTGCTTCTCCTCTGTGTTTCTGCATAAAAGGTGGTAGAAAGTCTATTCTTTATCCTTCATAATTTCTTCCACTCAAATTTTGTAAAAAGAAGTCAAAGATATGATATTTCTTTTTTTTCTACACTCATTTGGTCTTCTCTTTTGTTGCAGAAGCATGTGCCACCGATTTCTGGCCCTCAAAATAACTGAAAAAGTTGTGAGAAAGGTAAAGAAAAACGGCTGTGCCACTTGGTGAGGAGAGAGACAGATCCGAACCTCTGATCCGAGGGCTGAAAATTGATCCGAGCTCGGATCAGTGGATCCGAGGACTTCCCATGATGGATCCGAGGTCGGATCGTCCTGATCTCGGATACACTCCGCCAGAAGTACAGACGAGGGCTCGGATCCCTCTTGTACACACGGATCCGAGCTCGGATCCGTGTTGAGCAATTTTCCAGTTTTTCACTTCTTCCCATTTTCTACATTTCTGCTCCCAATTTCTTGTGTACTTTGTCCTCTGGGTAATCCTTACATTTCTTTCAGCTTGTGCATGAATTTCATACATCAATAACCTTCACAATTTCACCAAATTAACGCATTAATCCACTCATTTATCAAGTTTTGAACCTTTAAACAATATTTAAGCAATTATCACCAAAAGAATCCAAATATGGCTTTAATTTTCTCAAAACATACCAAAAAATCATGCCAAATTTGTACAAAATGTACGTTAAATATTCACATATCAAATTCCTCCACACTTGAATCATTGCTTGTCCTCAAGCAATTTTACACAAAACTTCAATGATTTAATAAATAAATCAATATACGTATTTTTGTCAAATTTAATTCCTCAAAAACCTAGAAACCAATCATTATGCCATTTCTCAGATTACACTAAATACTCATAATATTCAATTAAATAAAAATAATTATGCCTTAATTTCAACAAATTCAAATCAATTCTCTCATTCTATCCTAATTCCACAAATAAGTAAATCACATAGTCAATTTTATGGCCTTCCTCATCCCAAAACTTAACAATTTAGAGGGATTTATTCACATTTCATCTTATTTAAATAGTGAAAACGTCTTTTTACGCGAAAATCAACACTTTTAGGTGAAAATTCCCGGTTACTCAACATTTCACTTATTTAAATTGCTAAGCATACTCTTAATTCCAATACATTTTTACGCGAATGTCGACATTTGTAAATGCCAACTCCCGGTTACTCAGTATGTGAATCATTGGAGTAGAAAATTAATAATAATATTTTTTTTAACAATCAATTTCTTTTTCCCTCTAAATATAATTAAAGGAAGAATTTGGCCTTGTTTTTTACTATATCAATCATTTACTTATAAAATTAAGTAAAAATGAGAAATATCATTAATCTTGCAAAATTCTAAGCATAATTTTTCTTATTTAACCAAATATACTTTTTAAAAATGTAAAAAATCCTAATTGCATAATAATTCATTCCAAGTCAAATAAGAACTAAACTTTTCCAAAATACACATATCATTTTATCCAATGGAAGAATTAGATACTTAAAATTTTAACATTTTGGCCATTTAATTAGAAGAATTGCAATGAAATATTGGAAAATATTTTAGAAAAAATTTTGACAGAGTTTCCCCATAAAAATGGATGAAATTCCCTGCCAACAACCTCAAT